AAATAAGATGCTTTAAACTCACAGACAAATTAATATTATACTATTTTATTTTTAAAATACAATCGTTAAAAATGAAAAAAATAAAAATAAAAAATTTCTAATTAACGAGGGAGAATTCCTATAATAATTTTTTACATACGAGGCTACTTTGGAAACAATAATATAATATGGACCATTTATGTATCTATATATTTGACTGTATGTATGTGTTTGGCCATATGTATGTTTTCAACTATATGTATGTATATGTTAACACAAGTTACATAAGAAAAATTAAAAAAAAAATAATAATATTAAAAATACTTCTAAATGTATGTCAGGTGTAATATGAAAATTTTGATATCCTTTTTAATAGTAAATATACTAATATGATGTATGTCAATACATGGAGTATGACAACATATATAATGTATCAATATATGTATGTATTCTTTTATAAACAACGTATATGGTTTAATGTATGTCAATTTATATGTTGCATAATTTTATAATACAAAATTCATACATATAATATTAGGATAATTTTTATATATATAATATTGCATAGTTTTATAACATAAAACTTATACATATAATATTAGTTTTGTTTTTTGTTTTTTATACTTTTTTCAGGGTATAATATTATGATAATTTGAGAGGAAACGAACTTTCAACTTTGTTCACATTTAGTCACTAAACTTTTTTTATTATCTATTTGCCACTGAACTATTGAAACTGTTCACATTTTACCCTTATGATTGGCTGTTATCGGTCATAAGGGCAAATTGTGAACAATTTCAATAGTTCGGTGGCAAATAGATAATAAAAAAAAGTTTAATGACTAAATGTGAACAAAGTCGAAAGTCCATTACCCTTTCAAGTCATTATCCCTTGATATTATTATCAAACTCAGAATTTACAAATTGAACCAATTTTGTAGACTCTTAGGAAAATAGAACAATATATGATATCATATAATCTTAATGTTTTATTCATTTGAGATGTCATGTGCCTCTATATAAAGAAACATAAATTTTATTTAATTTTGAATTAAAATTTAGAGTTTGTGGATTAAAAGAAACATAGAACATTTTGAAACAACAATCTTTGTGAATACTGTTTATCTTTCATCCACACAATAATGAGAAATTAACGAAGTGATTTGTTCACAATAATTTTTCTCCATACACCACAATTTGTGTTTTATAGAGTTATACAATACAACATTTTAAAGCACAAATTATTATGTACAGGAAAAAATTGTTGTGTACGAATCAACTCCCAAAGTAAAACCAACTTAGTCTAAAATCTACTTCAAGTAATATTTGAAGGTTTTTAATTTTTAATTTTAACTTTTAACTTTTCAATTTTTGTTAGATTATATCTATAATGTTATCAAATATTGAATGAAGATTTTTAGACAAATTTTGTAATTTTTAGCGTTTAGGTTTTTGTTATATTAGATATAACATTATAGCCCAAGTGGACAACCCATATGTTTAGACTACTAGTCAGTCTTGAACCCATGACCTCTCATTTGAGAATGTCACTCTTTACCTCTAGACCAAATGACATTTCTCTCTCGACCATAACTTCACTGCCATAGTGTTCGTATAGATAATTTTGTGTATATTAAAACTGACATTTAATGAGAAAACCATCCAACATCCTATCAAAGCAAATATGGTCCCTTTTTCCTTATATTGTCCTTAAATATTCTCCCTTCCTTCTATTAATCTTATTTTCTCTCTCGACCACAATGTCATTGCCTCTACTCTACCGTGGCACCTCCTTAAACATCAGGATTATCAAATTTAAAATACCCATTGTTTTCACAATATTGACCTCTATATTACGATGCTTTGAGAGAACCTTTTTTCACATATTGTATTGGTTTCGATGTTGCCAATCACATAGATAACACCTACAAATACCCTACACATAAACCTGTCGATCTCGAATGGAGAGAAGGTTGACTCTATTGCCGAACTTTGGATATATGAGTCTATATCCCAATTTCTTCTACAAATGGTTCTAAAAAAGGATTCATCAGTTCACGATGTATGGATAAGCCTCGAAAATTTGTTCCGACATGACAAGGATGCAAAAGCTATGCAACTAGGTAATGGACTTTTTCAACGTTTCGATGGGTGATCTTTTCGTTCCCGAGTAGTTTACCAACACCAAAGTCATGGTAGACCTCCTTGACAACATTGGTGTTGTGGTTACTGACAAAAACCTATCATTATGTGATTAATGGCCTCTCCTCTAAGTTTGATTATGTCATAAGTATCATTCGACACCGGTCAGTCTCGCCTCTATCCTCGTTCGATGTTGTTACTTAAATAGCAAAGAATGTCTCAACAACGACCTTCTTGTTCCTCGTCTCACACCGACCACACATCTTCCCCTACCATCATTCATACCAACAATAACCAAAACAATATGGGGTTCTTATTGTAGCAATGACATGTAGAATGGTTGCCAACTAAGCCAAACGGTTACCGCCAAAAGGTTACTACCAATCTAATCAGCTGACACCAAAATATAAGTGGGAATCATATCTTCCACCACCTAACCAGCCATAATAACCCTCTCACGATGCTACTTAGGTTTGTCCTCCTACTTCCCCCAACCTCTAGTTGTTTCAATAGCATTCGTAAACTAGGTCCACCAACATTAGACTTTTTAGGCTAATCCGACAACAACCTTCAGTGTTTCTCCCAACCAGATCACATACACGCCTCATCGTTTTCCCTCCTAATCATCAATCCAACCAAACTCAATAACCGCTCCAACAACCATGTTTCTGGTCCTTCTAGACCAACATGGTCGACCAACATATTTATTTACTACATTTTTCAACACTTTCACCTTAAATGATCTCGTACATGGAGGACATATCATGGATACAAGGGCCACAAATATGTAATTTTATATATTTCAAAACAGTTGCTTTTAACAAACAATTTCATGCAAATAAAAACTATATCTTATAATATCTTACAACTACCAGGCTATCAACTATTACTAGCTAATTTGTCTAGACATACCTTAACCACGAAAAATGTTCGCATTGAAGTGTTTGTGTGGCCAACATATAGCTATAGAGAGACCATGTAGTGAAACAAATGGACTATGAAGAATGTGTTTAATAATTTGGGTATATAACATGCTTTGAAATATTAATAATGTGGGTATATAACATGGAAATGTATAAGGCCGGTCCTGAGGATTTAAATATCTTTAAATGTCTAGGACGAACCAGAAAAATAGTCTTAATCGTTATTATAAGTTTATATATATATATATATATATATATATATATATATATATATATATATATATATATATATAATAAAAATAATTAGGTCATATGTAGCTGCCCACTTTGTCCCTTTCAACCCCTACCCCGTGGAAATGTACTAGCGATTAATATGTTTCAATCAACTAATATTGAAATTTGTTAGGAATTTCCTAGGTGACAACTGGCGACGTGTTTGGACAATATCAGTTAGATCATCATCTAGTGGAAAAAAGGGTCATGTTGTTTATAAACATAGACTTACATTTCCGGATCCAACCGAATCAAATTAAATTAATAACCAAAGATAAAGGGTTTAACAATTTCCTTTAATTGGTGACGGTGATGATGTTTGGTGTAGAAACTTTGTATAAAACGTTGAACAACTCCATATATCCACATGAGCAAACTAGAAACACCAAGGGCATGTTAGTTCTTTAAGCAATTAAGCAAGACCATCTTTGTTTCTTTCTCTTTTTCTTTATAAGTTGAATACAAAGAAAAAAGGAAGAGGCGATTGGAGAAGTCAATTAGAGTTTCTCATTTGGTTGCCTTAATAACATAAAAGGCTTGTTTTATACTAATCATAAAAGGGTGGATTTTTAATTCCTATAATTAGTCAATTATAACAAATAATTCTTTTAATTATTTTATTAAATAATTATTTATTTACTTTTCTTAATTAATAAATAATAGATAAATATTTTATTTAACAATTTGTTTGATTGATTAATATAATACTATTTATCATATGTAAATATTATATATTGATGTTTTATGCCTTTTAATCAGCCAATTCGAATCCATAATTAATTAGTCAACTATTATAAATAATACTCTTACTTATTTTATTAAATACATCTTCTATTTCTTTAGTTTAAATTAATAATTAATAGATAAATATTTTATTTAATTATTTATTTTGATCGATTAATAATAATAATAATAATAATAATAATATCACATATAAATATTATATATTTGATGTTGTAATACTCTTTGTATGGAATCCTATATAATTAATAATATAATTAAGATTCAAGATACTTATTCACTTCACATAAATCCAATAAAGGGTTCATCTATTAAGTATTAACAATATAAATATATGACATCGTATCACATAAATACTCTTTGTAATACTCTCATTCCACCCTTTCCAACTAATACAACTCCAAACTCATATGCTACTCTCTTTGGAAAAAAAACTCATATGCTACTTACTAATTTTAATTTCTGATTACATTAATAAACTACAACTCGTATGCTTCATGTCCACATCGATTTAAGTTCACAATGAAAAACCTAAACTCATTTATGAACTATCCCAAAGAACATCAACTCAACTAGTATTACTCATTAATATAGCCAATAAATAAATATCTATCAACAATATTTGAGATCTCAAAGATCCAAATACATCCATAAGAGTTCTCACTAGAACACAAATAAGATTGAATGGTGGTTCAAAACATAACAAAATCATTTAACAAACCACATAAAAACACATCTTCATAACCAAAGATGCACATTTTCAGACACGAACTTCTCAATGAACTTTAATCTTAACTTTTATTTACAAGAAACAATATTGTATATCATTTGTTTCATCCATTTTATTAAAGCAAAATGCTTCCATTAACCATCAACAAAGAATATACGTAAAGAACCATTTATAAGTATGCAGTTCATTATATACAATTTATGAAGAACAGAAGTGGGGATTTTCAAAAGATCAATCTTTTAATGGCATTTATATATACTCTATTAAATCAATCAAAAAACACCCTTTCTTTTGTTAGTTTATGATTCTCTTCATCATCTTTGCATCCTACTGAAGCAATAGCTGTTCTTCATCTTTCTGCAACTCATTCAATCTTCTTTTTGCATAAACTGTCACCAAAACAGTTGTAGTAATTGTTAAAAGAAACCCTCCAACAGTACCTAAAATCTGAGTCACTGAAAGTGAGTGTTGATCATTTGAAGCATCTGCCAAAGTTCTGATCATTATACCCCTGCAATAACACATTCAAAAGGGTAAAATTGGTAATACAGGTGAATAAACCAAAGGGAAGAGGACTAGAGAACTGTAGAATTAGAGAAGTCTTACGTGTATATTGCAACGAAAATCTCAGGGACCATTCCTGTCAATGTTCCAAATAAGTAAGGACCAAACTTGACATCAGTTGCCACAGCACAGTAGTTATAAACCATGTAAGGGAATGGGGAAATTCTCAATAATGCCACTGCTCTAAACTGATTAAACCAGTTTCCTTCACCTGCTAACTTCAAGATTGAAGCTTTTTTTGGATACCTTTCTAACCATCCCTATATAATCAATACAACACAAAGACACCATTTTGATTCGATTAGGGTTTAAACCCAAAATAGAAGAAAAAAAAAGTGTATTAAATTAGGATACTTACTTGGATTTTGTGGTAGAATAGGGAACCGATGAAATAGGGAAGTGATGTGCCGATGATGACTCCACTGATGATTAAAAGAAACCCAAAACCATAGCCAAAACTCATTCCGGCTACCCACATTGAAGGTGTAGATGGTAGTAATATGGTTGGGAAGATTGCTACAGAAGTGAAGATCAAAACTGCTAACACTGGTTTGCTGAAAGTTTCGGTTTCCCAATTCAAAATAGGGATAACCTCCTGAAATATGTGAGAAACAGAGGGATTGAAGTTATAGAAGTTGGAATAATTTCAGAAATCCAGTTGGATCGTTCACGAATTATGCATATAAATCAAGAAAACAGTCGAAATTTTCATTAAGATTGGGAATTAGGGTTCTTTCTGGAGAGGCGAGTTAGGGTTACTTTGGGGAAATTGGGGAAATTAGGGTTAGTGATTGATTTGTGCTTCAACGGTAAGAAAAAAGAGGAATTTGCAGATAAAATAATGAAATTCGGATAAATGCAGATCGACATACCTTATTCATTAAAAAAGGTCCGATCCATAGAAAGAAACAAACCCCAACAACAGCCAAGAAGATAAACACAAGAACAAGCTTCGACCACCACCAAAGAGAGCACCAAAAGCCGCCACCAACACTACTACAACTCCTCGAAGACGAGGAAGAAGAAGGCAGTGAACAACAACCGCCGCCGCCGCGGCCATTACCACCGCCCAACCCCTCCGGTTCCTTCAAAATTACGTAATCATCCTTGGGATCTTCAATCGCGATCTTCAAAAGGGTGACTACATCTGCTTCCTCATACGTCATAATAATAACAAATTTAGATCAAATCGTAACCAATTTGACAGAAACAACCCTAAAATCGGAAGTTCTGCAAGTAGCCGTTAAAACTGGTCGGATTAAATTGTGAATTATCTGATAAAGATGGAGGAATCAGAAAACAAAACAATCAAATCCACGAGAACAGCGTAAAAGATCAGGGAAACAAACGTCGATTCAAAGAAAGAGATAAGTATTTCAGATTATTGGGAAAGTTAAAAGAGATCTTCGAAGGTAGACATATGAGAAGAATAGTGACTGGGAGCCGAAGATAGTATTTGATTATATAAAGGCTTCAATTATTTATTAAAGAAAATTGTACCAAACTCCATTTATTATTAATTTTATATTAAAATGTCGACAATTGATTAATATTTATTATTATTATTATTATTATAAGATAATAAAAGAATCTTGTAAAATATAAAACAAGTACCGACTAAAGTCAATAAGTGGACAAACATCGTCCCAATAAAATTGTTATGATTGAGTATGTAACTCTTACGACATAGATTATTTGTTAATTATTACAAGTAGCAATGACATATATAAACTAACCATCACAATGATATATATTTTTTTTTTGGATATTCACGACATGTGATATATTAACACTTTCTCCCAAAAATGAAGGCTTAATAATGATAGACAATAACATCACGGGGTGTATAGATTATTATATGTTATGTATTATATTCGACGTCGACTCTGATATTACAAAAGATGATATTTTCTTATGAAACATATTTTACATTGATTTACAATAAACGTTCAAAATTAAAAAAAAAAAATGGGCTAAAGGCTACGCATAAAGGCCCAAAGAAGGTCTAACATGATACATAACATACAAAACTTTATACTTTAACACCCCCTACAATTTTAATTTTATGAGGAGATATCGTCTAAACTTTTAAACCGGATGGACATTGGCCTTAGACCTGCACAAACCGTTTTTTTTTTCGAACCGGACCGGTTTAGAAAACCGATTCGGTTTTAGTCAACGTAGTCAAAACTGATTCACCCCTAAACTGGTTCGGTTTCAAACCGGTTCACCACAAAAATAATCCGAACCTATATAAACCGGTTTAGTTTTTCCTAAACCGGTTCAAACCGGTCTGACATGCCACTCGATTTTTGGTTGTTTTGGCTTTGTTTTTGGGCTAAAGAGTCTAACATAGGTATGGTTTTTTTTTTTTTTTTTTTTTTTTTGGTAAATATGCTTTAGTTTTGGTGTTTCACAAAAATAAATAAATAAATAAAAACAGTGGCCATATCCCACATTTGATGCATATATGGCCATGGGATTGAATTGAGATGCATATGGCTTAAAAAAAACCCACGTCTGCAGCTTTCCTTTTTTTTTTTTTTTTTTTTTGCTTTTGTTTTTGGTGTAAAGAAGGTAGTATAAGGAAGGGGTATTTTTTGTTTTGTTTAATTAATTCAAAATGAGTTTTGCTCTTATTGGTAATATAACACTGTCATTAAGAGAAAAAAATTGATTCCAAAGCTACCGTAGAAGCTTGGAGCTTAGTAGATCATCGGCCATGGCGGCTAGAATCGGAAATTGAGTTTCCTTTTTTTTTTTCCATCAAGCCAAAATATCAAAATTATCAAACTCTTGCACACTTATTTGTGTCAAAAAATCGGAACCAATGTACCTTCCGAGCTCGCTACTAGGGGTGTTAGACCGAACTCGTTTTGAAGTTTTCATTCCTCAAAGTATTATAGAGCCGAATTGTTTCGTTATTTTTGTGAGAAGTGGATATGGATGCCCCCGTACCTTGAATCATGTCATGAAAGTTTGTTGAACCATACTTTGTTAAATAAACTTCAAACAAACTTTGAAAAACTTTGTTAATTTTTGAAACTTCCTTTGATGCATATTCTATGTCATCATCCAATAAACTCAAATCGTAACAAATATTTTCAAGTAAAGTCCCAACCCCCCAACATTTAGTCGGATTCAAAACGGCGGAATAAGTTATAACTAGGGATGACAATGGGTACGGGTATATCGGGTTTCATGTTCCCCATCCCCATCCCCATACCCATACCCGACCCCATCCCCATCGGGCATTAAAAATCAATCCCCATCCCCATCCCCAATGGGGAACGGGGATCCCCAACGGGTAATCGGGGAATTTTCCCCGTTACAAGGTTTTGAAAGTTTATGAAAAAATAAGTTATAGCTATATATTAACAAACAAAAAAAAAACTTATAGAGATAATATAAAGCACTTCAATCTTCGAATGTATTAAAAAACGAACAATAACATTCAAGTTTACACATTAAACAACTTTTTTGCAACAAAAAAAAATAAACATAAACATAAACATAAACATAAAAAGTCATCCAAAAAGTAGTCAAACATCGCTTATCATCCAAACAATAACAATCAAGTTCATCAAATTTCAATTCCAACTTTCGCATTGAACCATCATTTATCATATATTCACCTACCAACAAAACAAAAACAAAATATAAACAAATGTATGAAACAAAAAACTTTAATTTAATTGATTATAATCATGAAAAAATTGTTTCATTATTACCATCAAGTTTCACTATCCGTGTCGTAATCATCAAAATTAGTTGCATGATTATCCAAGGTAAATTGCACACCTTCATCTAAATAGAACAAAAAAGTTAGTAAATTAAAAACAAATAGAAATAATAACAAATTGATCCCAAACAATGTTTTTTTGTCTTTTGTTTGGAGGATTTACCGCATCTGATTGAAGTGCTTCTTCAAAGGAAGGAACATTTGGACTTGTATTATCAGGTTCAACATCAAAATTTGTAGAACCAATTGGTGTTGAAGGTTGTTCACTCCCCAAGTCAATGGAGAATGAAGATGGTTACGCTGGAGTCGTGGTACAGTACGGCGTCGATGGAGAATGAAGATGGTTGTCGGACGCCAGTTGGAACTTGGAAGTCGAAACGCAGAGTCGCAGTCTCGCAGATGAAGGAAGGCAGGAGCGAGGGCAAACATCGTCACAACAGGAGCGGGAGCGGGACTCGACGAAGACTTGAAGACATGATGACTATGAATCTATGAATTATGATTTACCATAGCGAATTACAAGTTTGATTAAGGAATAAAAAAAACCCTATTGACTATTTGACTTAGTTTCACAATTCACAGTGAGGTGAATCGGCGACGCATTACAAGATATTTGAATTGATTAAAAATATAACATAAATGAATTTACACTTGACAGAAGGTTGATTGAATTTACACTTGACATAAATGAATTTTCACTTTCACAATTTGAATTACGTATAAGATTTTTGAATTGATTAAAAATATAACATAAATGAATTATATATATATATATATATATATATATATATATATATATATATATATATATATATATATATTTCGGGTACCCATCGGGTTCGGTTTCGGGTACGGGTATGGGTACCCGATAGGTAGAACCATCCCCGTCCCCATCCCCGTTTTTTGCATTCGGGTAATACCCGTACGCGTACCCATCCCGATCAATTCGGGGATTTACCCGGTCAATTCGGGTTCGGGTTTCGGGTACCCATCGGGTACGGGTTTTTTTTGCCATCTCTAGTTATAACGAGGGGTATTTTCAAAATATTTTTTTTTAACTTTGTTTTCATCGGTTTCATCATATTAGCAAACATTCTGCCTCTCATTTCAAACTCATTTATTTTTGCACACATTAAAAATATTTAGTTTAAAACTAAACAACTTGTAAGATAATAAACCCCCGATAAAAAAATAGTTGTTTTTTTTAAAAACTCCAAGCATTTCCGTAACAAGTTTGATAGTATCCAAACTTGATTTCGGATAAGCCGTAACCCGATTACGTTCCGCAAGGTGGTCATGAAACATTTTTAAAATATCTTTTTGACGTAAGGCACATTCAAACATGTCACAAGTGGAGTTTCGTCAGTGGCGAGTCTAGAACCTAAAATCACATGGGTCACTATTTAAATAAAATAGACAAAAAAAATATATTGCGGGTTCAGATTGGGTTGAGTCATATAAGAAAAAAAAAGATTTAAAGTTCTTATAATTGTACCCGACGAGGTCTTATAGCTTGATACAATTTCACAATCGTGTCATTACTAATACTTCCTAAAACATTTTTTTCAATATATGACACCAAACTATCACTTAAAAACTGATCATCCATTTTGTTGCGTACATCAGTCTTTACCAACTTCATTGCTGAAAATGCGCGTTTCACACTCGTTGTTGCAACGGGTAAGATCAATGCAAGTTTCAAGAGAATATAAACCTTAGGATATATTATATGCTTCTGTACTTCGACCATCTTTTTGGCAAATTCTCCAATGTTCTTCAATTGATTAAATCTTTCATCTTCTTGCACATCCTTAATGTAATTTTTAAGTTCAACTTCAAGAACTTGAAGATCATATTCTTTTCTAAACTCTTCCCGATAAAGTGTAGCCATTTCCATTAGTTTATCCAAATCAAAGGCTATGAAAGACTCACGCGGGCACAAACAAGCTATGCAAAGAAGTAATTCCGTGTTGGCTTCATTAAAACGATGGTTAAGCTCTTGAAGTTGCATATCAATCGCCACCTTAAATACATCAACATGATAGTGGTGCAAGTTATTAACCTAAAAATAAAAAGAATCTTTAATATGCAAATGAGAAAACACAATAAATAAATCAAGTTGGTAATATCAAACATTACTAACCTGTGAACCTCTTTGACGACTGAATCTGTCATAATATTCATCTTCCATATCCACGATTCTAACATCGTGTTTATCACATAATAAAGTAACATTCCTTAAAAGTGGTTCCCATCCTAAATCTCTAATTTCTTGAATTGCCTTTTAGAGCTACTTACTTGATTCATGACATTTACGATATCTTGACCTTTTTTTATAATGTTGTATCCAAATGATCTGTGCCTCCCAAGATATCAACCATCAAGTGTAGACAAAACACAAAATCAAAGGACTTTAATAACCTTAAGACGCGAATTGCTTCAGCTTTACGATCATGATCACTATTATCTTTACCAAGGTCTTCAATTACTTCACAAATGGAAGAATATATGTTCTTGATATTCAATAGAGATGAAAAATGAGAACCCCATCGAGTAGCAGATGGTCGTTTGATACCCACTTCTTGATTCAAACCGGTACCACTCTAAAGTTCACCTAAAATTTACCATATAAATAATTAATTAGCATAACATAAATATAAAATATTTTAATAATAAATTTAGCACAATCATAAACCAA